AAGAGCGTTATGAAGAAGAGCAAGATGAGGAGGATGAATCTCAAGAGGAGGAAGAGATGAGGTAAATTAGACATCCATTAAAGTGGTTTCCTACTGAAATATCTTGATTATTAGGTGGAGTAATAGTTCACATAAGCACATATCTTGAAAATCCAATATGAAAAAGATGTTTATTAAAAAAAAAAAATAATCACAGCTTGTTATGAGTTTGGCTATTACTGATGAGTTTAATATTAACAAAAGTTAGGTTCACTGGACTTAGAATCGCTTTTCAGGATGAAAATTCCAGCCTTGACATCCAGGTGGGTGAGAGATGGCCATCAGAGTTGCAGCTCTGTATAGCTACTGTTTGTATATAAAGTAGGGAGAGTTTCAAACAGTAGAGATTTTCTGGAGAAAACCTGGAGTTGTTTTTGTCCAGTTTTGAATTTTGGGGGACTAGATGCATACAGTAAGTAGTGGAACATTAGGGACAACAAGGTCATCTGCTGGAGGCTATGTGATACTGGGAGGACTTGAGGACTTCTGCAGCAGCTGTTTGGAAAACAAAACAAAAAACAACCCCAACCCCACACCCCCCACCCACACACACACTACCCCCTCCCAACCACCACCAACAGAAACCCCTAAATAATCCAATGTGATAATGTCAGTAAAGTGATGGATTTGATGCACGTGCCAGGAGCGTAAAAATTAAAGGAAACTTTCCTGATCTCGGAGTATTTTTCTTTTTGATACAGTCTTTTGAATTGACTGAAGCAAGATTATTTGTGGCTCTGACAGTTGGGATTCAGTAGTTGGAGAGAACTTGCCTCTCCTTGAGAAGTAAATTTATCTCAGGGATCTTCCTTCTCTCCTGTAATAGAAGGAGAGTCTTGAGTTAGTAATATGCTCTCATTAGGGTTTAACTTTTATACTTAATGTTTTAGAACTGCAGTTTATGTAGCTGACAATATTGTTCAAAATCCTAGTAGTTACAGTTGCTGTGAGAAGTGAGTGATTTAAAGAAATTGGTAGCTGGTGCTCCAGTTGATACATTCATATTGCACAAGCTGCAAGGTTGTTCAGAATTCTGAGCATTTCTTGAAAATATGTGCTCCACGTAATATTTAAGAGACTTCAGAGCAGTATTTAAGATAATGGTAATTGGATGACTGCATCAGTTTGAATGCAAGCTGCTTACCAGTCCAACCTTGAATGGCTGGAGTTTCTAAATGCTGAATTAGAAAACTGAGGGAAAAGAGAGGAATGGAATTTTGGGATAAACAAACATAATTGTTCACTTTTTGTAGCCCAGCAAAGCAAGGAAGACCTCAGGTCAAGTTTCCGTTAAAAATGAGAGCAGCTAAGCTCAACAATCCATTCTCAAGTCGAAACAGCCAGCGTCAGGCAAGATACGCTTCTCGGAGTCAGCAGAACACACCTAAGCAAACTGAATCTTCATCTAAAGTTACCAGAAGGGGTTTAAGAAAGGTAAAATCAGCCCCTCCATCAGTGACAAAGCCTTCTTTAAGACTGAATAGCCGGACCACTCGTCAGAGCCAAAGTTCATTACAAGCAGGTGTATTTGTGGAATTACTTGGTCCTCGAAGGAGACGAAGAGGAAGAAAGAATGATGATAACACACTGGAAAACAGCCCTTCCAATTCTCTCGGATTTAGAATTGTTGATACTGCAGACTCGAACGAACGGCTTAGGAAGTATCCGGATTCTGCTTCAAAGCTTTCTCTTCCTGTTACTGAACCCAAGAGAAGAGGCAGGAAACGACAATCCACAGGTTAGAGAAACGTGTTTGTCCAGAACGAAATCCACGTTCTGTTCCTTGCTAAAATATTTGTGTGGTAGAGCAAGGAGACTAGAAGTGGCGGTTGAAAGCATTTTTACCACTTTCAACAAAACAGCTCCCTTCTTTTGCAGTGACAGAAGTGAACCTTAAAAAAAAAAAAATTTTAGTCATCTAAAGAATAAATACTTGATTTGCCAAGGAGATTTATCATATCCATATTTGAAATTTCATATTTGCACACAATATGGAGCAATTGTTAATAAGTGGATAGAAAATGTGAAAGTGATATTTATGCCTTAACCCCTGCAAATGTAAATGTTTACTTAAAACTTTTATGATTGTGTTTTATTAAAGAGTTAGATATTGAAGAACACAGATATAGGCAAGGTAGTGAAATTGAATATACGTGTCCAACAGGAAACTGCCACCAGAAGAAAAATGTTGTCTTATCTGGTATAGGGCTAACAGTGTCCTTGCTTGTTAAGCTATTACCAAGTATTTGATGGTAGGGAAATACTTGCTACAATAACCTTTTAAAAACAAAAAGGACCCAGTGTGAGACTGAAGAGTGTAAAAGAGGCTGCACTCCAGTGTGGCAGCCTTGTATTCTGCACTGTTTCTGTCCTTCGCCATTGGGAGTTTCTGGGCTTAGCCTCTATCCACCCTGCTGACTAATCTTGAAAGCAGATAAAACCACTCTGAATAGAGGTTTTGTGGAAGTAAAAGTTATAAGCAGGCAGCTTATTCTGTTTTTCTCTAATAGGGCTTTTCTTTAAGTGTTTAACAAATTGTTTTAAAATTGAAATCGGTGGAAAAAATCCTTTCCAAAACTAATGCGATGAAGGAGAATGGAGGAGGAACCCAGCTAAGTCCTGGTACTTAGCATTTCGTACAGCAAGAGAGACATTTAGTGGTTAATAACAAGGCTGTAGTATAGTTAATACCTGAAGGCAAACTACCTGAGTTGTGCCCTGAAACTAGTTTTAGTACCCAAGAATAAGTGTTTCACTTTTTTTTTTTTTTTAATTTTTTTTTATTTTACTTGTCAGGTTTTTATTTTTATCTGGTGGGGTGTTGTTTTTTCTTTTTTTTTCTCCAGAATCATCTCCTCAAACCTCACTGAACAGGAGAAGTTCAGGACGTCAAGGGGGAGTCCATGAACTCTCAGCTTTTGAACAACTCGTAGTGGAACTGGTACGACACGATGACAGCTGGCCTTTCATGAAACTGGTTTCCAAAATCCAGGTAACTGATAGAACTGTAGAGGGAGTGATAGTGGTTGAGAATCCTGTTTGCTGACAGTAAAACTTGGGATTTAAAGCATTGCCCAAACAGGGGAATGCTAAGCAACGGGATTCAGGAGAACTCTCACATTTCAGCTCAAATATTGGTGCCAGAAATAAGTTTTCCAATTGACATGGTATTGGGAAAATTTTAAATACGCATGCCATTAAGCATTTAAAAATGTGAAATGCTTCGATTTGGGGGAGGTGTGGGCAAACCCAAAAAACCCAAACACCAAACAGAGCACAGGACTGCTAAAGGTAAGCTTATGGATGTTAATTATTTAGTTGAATTACTCTTCAACTTATGCAAAGGTATTTTGAGAACAGACCTGCAATAAAATAACAAGGTAGGAACAACTTCACTCTGATGCTAACTATAATGCAGTAAAAATCTGATTTCTTAACAAGAGGGAAATTAAATTAAGAACTAAGCTTAGACTTTAAAATACTTGATGGTAAAGTACATACCCAAAGTAAGTGCTCCTTTAGAGGTTTGTATTACAATAGAAGTTCCCAAGGCACATCTGCTTTTCTGTAGGCTGCACTGGCTTGTCAGTTGTAAGGCACTGCTGAAACTATCCTCCCCTAACAATATGCCTGTCCACTCTAAGCCCTCTGGAGCAACGCTGCGCAAACATTCGGGCAAGATCTAGAGCTCGGTGTCTAAGTGCTCTATTAAAATTAACAGTGATAGCTGTTAAATGAAGATTTGAAACTCTGAATTCAGAGTCACAGATAGCTGGAAGGATTAATGTGGATTAATCTGGACAAAAAGAATGATGTACAAATGTGAATGAAGGATGGTAAGCACAGAGGAGGAATAGGAGAGAAATTTTGAATGAAACGGAGAGTAGTGTCTGCCTGCTGGAGTACAGGAATTACACTGGAAAGTGCAAGAATCTGGTGAATGCAAGGACGCTTCTTAAGGAGGGATGGAGAATTCAACTTAATCTTGATCCTGAAAAGAAACTGCTAGAATTCAGTGCATGTCAGTTTGCCTGAATCAATCACTAAGGGATAGTCTCTGTATAGTTCAGAAAGAAAAATCCATGCCTGAGTGACCCAAATTTTCTTTATGACAGAACTTTTGGTTTAAACTTTTTGCTGCCTTTAAGACAATGCAAAAATAAATTGAATGATCAGTGCACAGCAAGCCAGAAAGAGAATCACCTTTCTTTTTAGTACTTATGTAAACAGTACTCCTAAACGGAAAGGAATGAAAAATCTGTCAATCTAATACTATTTCTCTACTAATGCTTTCTCTAAGTTTGTTTGCAGGTTGCACTTCATAAAGTAAAGTTACAGGCCATAACCAAGAACTTGTTTTTAAAACACACATGATGGTACCCGTGGGGGTTGGTTTTGGGGTTTTTTTTTTGTTGTTTTTTAAACAAGAAAAGTCAAATTTGGATGGGATATCTTTTTCTCCCCCCCGCCTCCTTTGTGAGTGAGACAGAGTCACCCTAAGCTTGGTGCTTACCTGGAATTCAAAATCTGTGATCCAAATGATCAGTGTCCTTAAGGGTTAAGCAATCCTTTTCCTCCCCTCACTTTTATCACTTAAGGACTGTTCTGAGTGGCTCTTTATCTCTGGTACTTGCGTACTGAGTCCTGCTTGCTACAGAAGGGTTCGCTACCTTCTCTTCAACACAACTAAATGGAATCTCAGGATTTCACTTCTCTTGCAAGACTGCCAGACGGTGAATGGTAGTGGGGCAAAAATGGCCTTTAATCATGATGAAGGAGCTTTTAATATTGTAGCATGTTACAGGAAAATGAAAAGTTTTTAAATCTTGGAATAATTTTTGTGCTTGACAGATGGGAATAGCTGGAACAGCGTAATGCTTATCTGCTCATGCAATTTTCCTACAGTTGTTCACAGGGTATTTAGGATTAGATTTATTCATTGAACTGCTGGCTAATGTTTGTTGTGGTCTGCTACTTTAATGATATAAAACATGGAAAAACAATACCTGAAAACTAATACTCAGTTCAGGAAATGAAGATGGTTGCTTGGGACTCCTCTGTTTATTTAAAAACAAACCCAAAATGCTTTCTGCTAATGCATGATTTGCTTATTTTTTTATATAGGTAGAATTTTAACCTTCCAGTAGAATTTTAGCCTTCCATTTGTTTGTCTATGTATCATTCTTTTTTTGTTTGTTTTTTTTAAAGGTACCAGACTACTATGATATTATCAAAAAACCTATTGCCTTAAATATAATCCGTGAAAAAGTGAATAAATGTGAATATAAGTTAGCATGTAAGTATTATTTATTGAAAGAGGTAATGGACCCTGTTCTCTCTCTAAAATAAATTCTTATCCTAAAATAGAGCTGTGTCAGAGGATTAGAAAGCTGAAGTTGTGTTTGGTTTGGGGTTTTGTGGTGGGTTTTGTTTTTTTTTCTTTTTTTCTTTAAGAGCATTTACTAATATTTTTAAAATAAGATTTGTTGAACATAGTTCTACTACCAAAATACATGATGTACAGGTAGATAAGAAATGAGCAGCCGACAGGCTGCTGGTTATTTCTCAAGCCTTTGATGTCAGTGAGTGACACTGAATTATTTAGAAAACGTACTGTTGTTACTGCTTGATTTGTATTTATTGATAATCAGAGAAATTTAAGAATGTTTACATGGCACTTCACTAATATAATGATAGAAACTTGACACATGTAAAGACATTTTTGTGGTGCAACTCTGTGTAGGATCACTGTACTAATTCAGTGGTGTCATCCTACTTTATCATACTGTGCTCTGATGACTTGGGACACACTAAATTAATTTATTTACTTTTTATTTACTAGCGGAATTCATTGAAGACATTGAGCTGATGTTTTCGAACTGCTTTGAATACAACCCTCGCAACACAAGTGAAGCAAAAGCTGGAACTAGACTTCAAGCTTTCTTCCACATTCAGGCTCAAAAGCTTGGACTTCCGATCACATCTGGTAATGTGGACCACGCCGCTCCCGCGGCAAAGAAGTCACGAATCTAACCTCTGCCTTCCAAAGGATTTTTTGAGGGAATCTGTTCATTAAAATGAAATGTTAAATCACACAGTCGTCATACCTGTATAAAGCAATAACAACTGTTTAACCACCTTGAAGTGTGGCCTGCACTATATTCTCAATGTAATATTAAGCACTCAGGAGAACGTAGGAAAGATTACCTTTGCTACAGTTTTATTCAGTGTCTAATAATTTTGATAGATGTACTGGATACAGTACTGGTTTACAGAGGTTTTGTACATTTTTAATACATTCATGTGTCCAAATATCTTCCAGAAGTACATTTTTTTTTTTCCTGCACCAAATGACCTTGTTTCATCCTCTAGATTTTGTAGGAGCTGTGGTATTGAGGGCTTTATCAACTCAGATAAAATCTTCTGCTGTAGCACAGTTGAAGAAACTGTGTGTATGTTTAAAACTTGTTTGAGCGTATCTTCTCAACACTACACATGAATGAGTACAATTGCATATCTTTAAAGTACTGTACCAGTGCTGGCTGGAGGTATTCAGTCTGAGTTTATTAAGTAGATATTTATTTAGCATTCAAAGTAATTTGTGAATTTGTTTTGTATTTATAAAATTTGTACTTGGGGATTAAAAACAAAAAAAAAAAAAAAGAGAGTTCCATAACTTTTAAAATTTTTTTCTGGTCCTTTTTTTTTTTTTTTTGTTTTGTTTATTCCCCTCTAACTTGATGATCAATCAGTAAATACCTTCCCCTGTCCCTGGCAGTTCTTCTAGCAATGAGTAAATTTACAGGACTGTACTATAAGTTTCTACGTACAACTTTGGAAGTGTACAAATAAAATGACACATTTTTCAAAGTATTTTGAGCTTCTGGCATTTCCTTTTGAGTTAAACTGCTACACCATCTTCCCCAGTCATTTACTAGGTCAAGTTGCTGGAGAGAACATAGCAGAATTTGCTTTCAATACGAGTATACCACCCAGCATTTTTGGCAGCTGCAGCCAGTGTGATACCTGGTCTCTTGAGTGATGCAAATGTTCATCAGTATGTAGGGACTAACGCAAGAAGTATGTGTATAAGTTGTATGGTTCTTTAATTAGGATCTTTATTCTAACAGTGTAAAACCTCATAGCTTTGTTTAGCTGACCAGCAGCTTCTTTAAACTATCCTTACTATCCTTCATAGTTTCACTTTCAGTATTTATTAATTTAAATTTATTAAACTCAGTTTGAGTCAGTAGCTTTAAAACCCTTTTAAAACCAGTTTTGCCCACCTGGAGGTGTGCCATACTCTGAGAAAACAGCATGGAGCAGAAATTTGGGGGTAGGAGCGAAGAGGGTAGGAAAAACTGAAACATGAGGTTTGCTGCTGCAGCAACTTTTCTCCCTGTTTGCGCTAGCTTATGTTGTAGCATTAAGACCTGTATATGCTACAGACCTGAACAATTAATTGCTCTGTACTTGCGGGTTTTCTTTGCTGCTGTAGTGCTTACCTTGCCTTAGAGGTGGCAAGAACGGGCATTCTCTTGAGCCTAGGGAATGGATGGTGATAGATAGGAGACTGATGAGTTTGAAGTGTAGGATTTGGATTTTTTTCTTTAATAATAAAAAAGTCTAAAACTGAGAACAGTGGGGGATATTGTTTAGCTATGTCTGTCAATACTTCAGTGTTTCTATGCAAGCTTGTCCTTGTTCAGAGCTGACATCTCTCTCCTGTCAAGGTCAAGGATGCATTTCTTGTTCCCACCACAAAGAATGCTAAATACTGAAAAGAATGCGAGCAGCAGAAGACTTCTTTGCAGGGTGTAGTTTGCACTTGATACCCCTGCATCTGTCTAGTCCCAAGAGGATGTGAACATCCTGACTAGCAGGTTGCACAAACAGTTGTGCAAGTTCTTGTTCACATGAATAGTCCCCATTGATTTAAACGTGAATACTTTTGGGGCTGGGGGCACAGTGAGCTGAACAAGTCTATCTGTGGCAGATGCAATTTAAATTGTTACTGTCCCCAACCTACTCCCAGCTGTTCATTCCTATCACTCTTTCTCCAAGGTTATTTCCTTCAATAGCTTCCTCTCAGAAACACAGCTATAACTTTGAGTTTGGGTCGAGCAGGTGGGAACAGTTTAACCCAAATCTCTGCTTGTGATGGTGGTGTTGGTATGCTTGTGCTATGAGTTACCAATTTGTCATTAGGTTTGCAAGCCGAAGGCCTCAGTTAAACATGCTGAAGGTGAAATACAGAAAAGTGCCTGCTTCTCCTTTGAGCAGCTGTGCTTAAAATACTCATGTATGCTGCATGTGCAATGCAGATCTGACTGTCCTTGGCTTTAGTGGTGCTCACAGGGCATGAACCAAGCCCTCTGCTCCTGGCAGGAGACCGAGTTGGTACTTTTATTGCAGCTTTTTCGAACTGCAGCTATGCTTTTTCTGAGTTATGTCAAGATGTCTTTTTCTGGCTGTTTATTTCCCCCACGCACACCCCTTTGGAAAAAGGGAAATTGCTTCATATCTCCCTCCTTGTCTTAAGGGGCCAAGATATTCATGCTCTTTCTCCACCTGCCCCCCAAAACAAACCCATGTCTTACTGCGATCAGCGATCCCATGTGGTGTTAGCACTAGCATAAGGGACGTGCAGTATCTGCAGGCGGCTCCAAGCTGAAGTTTCACAAAGGTGCAGAAATGGATAAGGTCAACGGCTTCATCTTGGATCCAGAGGGCCTGACTAATCAGCTTGCACCAGACTCTTCAGGAAAACAGGCACTAGGCTTCCTTGAGCTCCAAGTCCAGCGTCTGTCCTCCAAGCAGCATTTTGCCAAGATCCAATAGTGATCCCTTTCTTGGTAGCTCAGATATATCTTAGCCGTGGCAGGTACCCAGACCCAGCTATACCAGCTGTTTTTCCTGCTGTGCAAATCCTGCCCCTTTCATGCAAGAATTACTGAGTAACCACTCTAGGCAATTTCTTCTGATGCTTTTTGTATATAACTCTTTCATAACCGTGGGGCCAGTTCCTTTGGAGGAATTGGGCTCCAACCCAAAGGACTCTCTCTTTCAGGAAATCTCAGCATTTCCTCAAAGACAACTTGCTCAGCTCCTGGCCACCACAGACTGTCAAAAGATTCAGAAGACAAATCCCTACAGCGGCTGCTCTTACTGGAAGCTGCCCTTCCTACCCAAGCTGGACGAGCTCAGAAGGAGAAGGCCTGTTCAAATGCAAGGATGTAGCCTTGTGTGGTGGTTGCAGTCAAGCTGATGCTGCTGGCTGTTCATGCTTAGGTGTCAGCTGGCAGCACCAAGGTAATGAAGTTGTTGTGCCAGGTCCCTTCACCTGTATTAGGAGGCAGGTGTTCACCTTGACTGGCATATCCAGTGTCAAATTCGCCTGCTGGAAGTTTAACTTCTGGAAACCTTTAAGGATGCTGGAAAGCTTGAGCTGCTTTGGTCTGGCAGACTGTGTGACAGATGTGAGCCAGCACTCTTCATTTGTGAAGGGTTTGGGCTGGGGCCACCACCCCCTGCTCTTGTGTGGAGGGTGTAGTTTTCAGTTTCAGAGAGAGCACATAAATGTTAGTATTAATAGTAAAGGACGGTGACCGTAGCATAATCTTAGCAAATATGGGCATTAGAAACCAGCAAGAAGCAGCCGAAAACCAGCCTGAAGTTGTAGTTATAGGGAGGCAGAGGTTGCCGGACCCTGAACAGCCCAACTTGATGCAGCCATCTGCCCCCCAACCAGCCACCTCTGAAACTATCATCGTCCAGAAGCGGAGATTCTGCTATGGATGTGCGCAGGCAGCAGATCCCTGGGGACACCAGACCACACCAGAGTCCTGCCCAACATCATGGTACTGCTGGACTGGTAATCTAGTACATTAGGATTTAGGAGATTACTTGGATGCTTTACGATTTTTGAATTATTGATGTAACTACTGAATTAACCCTTACCCTGCAACAATCCTGTATCTTCTATCCATTTGTATTCAAATAAATAGCATCAAACACTGATCGCGTTGCCTCCAGTGTGGATCATTATCATAACTGATTGCAACAATTTCAGCTAACACTTCTTGAGGCTACCAAGCACTATGTCTACTCCGTAAGAGCCTTCTCACTCTAAAAAAATTGCCAGCGCGCAGATGACTTGCAGGTAGTTTTCTGTGCGGCATTCGGCTCGGTTGCTGTAACTCCAGGAGCTCTGTCCCCTGCACTGCTGAACTGTCACCTTGATCTTCACGACAGCGACTTCTTGGTCTCGTTCTGCAGAGGCGCTCCTCGTGCATTACCCAGCTTGCTGTAAGGGGTTATCCTGAGATTTCTCAGCCTGCTACCATCGGACCAACTGATGTCTTCTTCCTCCTGCCCTTCATCAGCAACCTATTTCCCTTAATTTGGTGCTTCCTTAAACAGCACTCTATTAAATCTTTGCCTTTAAGTGCTCAATTCTATGTATGTCCAGTATCAGGCCTGTATAACAACCCCTCTTGGAGAATCTCCAGTTACCACCGATAAAGTTTCCCATTTTGTGGTACTCAGGCTTTAAGATGTTTGGATTAAGGCAAATGTGAAAGGCAAAACGACTGTGCTGCAAAACACAAAAATTACAAAGACGGATAAGTAAAGCCATCACCTTGTTTCCCATCTGTTTCCTAACAGGGATGCTGAAGTAGCACCATCCCTAAAACATGTTTGTGTATTTGTGGATGTATGTGTGTATACTTGTGCAAAGTTTTGTATTTTTAACTGCTGTAAGCTACTGACTATTAAAATAAAGTTTGGCATTCATGAACATACTTCTGTGTCTTTAAAAGGTACATCTCCAGGGAAAGTGCTGGTAAAACTGTGATTTACTCAGACCATGAGAGGTGCTGGGAGCAAAGCCCAGCTTCCTCCGGCCTCCCCCTGCTCCCAGCAGCACCCACTGGTCCGAGCTTCCGTGACAATGGGCGGCTGGGTCTGCGTTTAAACTTGGTTTTACTTTCTAAGTAATCAAATAAATCCAGTCTGCTGTTGGTGAAACGCTCCACCCTCGGCCATGCACCAGCACCTGCATTCTGGCAAACGGATGCTTTTCCAAACCAATGCTTTTTAATATTTGGAGTGCATTAGAATGCCTAAATACCAATATGAACTACACCTGAAATGTTGTCAGTGGCAGAAGGCCACAGGCTGCATATGTTTTCCAAAAAGTGCGCCGAGGCTGACTTTGGGTTTGTTTCTCTACCATAATATATCGATTTCCTGGGTTTGTAGCGCTTCTTTTCTGGAAAATTGCTGAAACTGATTTTAAATGAGCTTTTTCTAGGTGCAACTCCATCTTTAAAATTTCTTAGGTATGAAAGAAGAAGGGGGTGAAAAAAAAAAAAGAAGTTTTCTGGGCCTCCGAACCCAGGAGCGTAGCAGCCGTCGCCTTGCGAGAGGCTGTGGGTATCGCAGGAGGCTGGCCGGAAGCGGGGAAGGCAGCAAGCACCCGCGCGCTGCCTGCGCCCTCCCCGCTGCTCGCAGGGTACATCCAGCTGTTCAGGTCACTCGCTTTTGGTGATAGAAATGTTTGATTGCGCCAAGTTTCCTACAAGGATGTTAACATGACAGCACGCTCTCCAAAGCGCTGGCCGCTGCCCACAGAAGATCAGCTTTCGCTTATTCTTCTCCACAGTCGCTCACCTTTCCTTTCTTACATTTGCTTCAAAGAACCACGAAAGAAAGCGTCTTTATTCCAGTAACAGAGTGCCACTGCGCTAGCATCGTGCCGCAGCGCAGAGTTATTCTGGCGCTGCGTACAGCCTGATTCAACAGTGCCGTGTGGAGGAGCTGAAAACGGCACGCTTGCGCTACGGTGTCCCTTCTAACAAGGTTGTCTC